TAAATTAACTTTTTGTGAACGTAAAAATTTATATGCTGTTGGTGATTTATAATATAAGTTTAAAGCTAAATTTTTTTCATTTAATGTCCACGGACGACTCCTATCTTTTAATTATTGCATCGTTACCATTGCCTTAGAATTAATTGATGGAAAGTTATGGATATTTATTGAATTCTTAGCATTATTATGTGTTTTAAAAGTTTTAATTCTTTTTTTTAATTTTGAAATTTGAGTTATTTTATTATAAATTAATTTGATAAAAAATATGAAATAAATATGTAATAAAAATGAAACTTAAAACTCAAAAAACAAAAAAATTCGGAAGGCGGTTGCTCCACAATGAACAAGATAGTAATAAATGATAATATAATAAAATTATTATTTCCAATCATTTCAGTATATCTTCAGTTTCTTATTATAACTCTATTTTTAGATAAGCACTTCGCGATAAGCCACCTCTTCCCTTCCACGCATATCCATGGCAAACATYTACGATGGGGGTACCACCTCCTTGCATCCCAACTACACTAGCGCTCCATAGTGGTTGCATCCTACGCATGGTCACCAAATATTAACATTGCATGGGCTATCTGTCTATTCTATAATCAATGCTAATACTCAATATTAAAATAATTGAAAATTTTACATTAAAATATTTTTTTAGTTGTATTGAAACTAAAGCCAAGGATCAAACAATTATTTGTAATTTAGTTGTGGATGAAATGTACATAAGAGACCATAYAGAGTGGGATGGGGAGAAAATGCATGGATTTGTTGATATGGGCGCAAATATTAATAATTGTGATGGTGATAACCTAGTTCATGCTAAAAATGCATTATTATTTATGGCTGTAGGAATCAATGGACATTGGAAAATGCCATTGGGGTATTTTCTTATTGGAGGACTGAATGGTGCTGAACGTAGTAATTTACTAAGAAATTGCTTACAACTCTTGAATGACACAGGGGCAAAAGTCCACTGTTTAACTTTTGATGGTGCTTACTCTAACAGTACTATGTGTAAAAACTTTGGTGCTTCTTTTAACATAATGAGTAACGATGATGAAAACCATTTTTGTATCCAAAATCCATTTACTAATGATCCAATATATAGTTTTTATGATGCATGTCATATGCTGAAATTAATACGAAACACTTTAGGTGATTATAAGTGTATTTTTGATGACGAAGGTCGATCAATTAAATGGGAACATATATATATATTGTAAAATATTATTCAATTAATAGGAAGAATAAAATATTTAATCAAACCATTATTGTATTTTAACATTTTAGTAGACAGTATGACACGGCTTCGGCGATGACGATGTTGGTGATGGTCCGCGGAAGGCCGGTCGCTGATTTAAGATGGTGTTGGTGTGGTGGTGAAAAAAAAGTACGAAATACACTCACTATTTCGTGGTATCGTTCTAACAAGACGTTTTATTGAGTTTAATCACAAAACAAATATTAATAACGCGCGTACGGGTCGAGTGTAAGTTAAGATCGATACAATCACGTGGTCTAGTATCGTTCGGTCGTGGTGGTTTCTTTGTTTTTTCCCGTAGGTAAAACGTCTAGATCGGTACGACGGTCGGTGAACGAGTTGACGATCGGAGGCGGCCGGTACTCGTCCGGCGCGACTTGTCTTCCCGTCCCGTCTAGCCTTTGCGGCGTGGAGGGAGAGTTGACGGTGCCGCGTCGTTGTCACCCGTGGTGGTGGTTGATTAAGTCGTAGACCGGTCGCAACGGTGCCTGTACTTTGTACTGGCTGCCGCTGCGTACCGTGTCAAGTAGTTACCTTATACCTAGTCCTAGTGAGCTGGTGTATTTGCCATTTGGTATATCATATGAATATCAAAAGTAAAATAATGCAACCAAAAACTAAGCTTTTCAACATTCTTACTTTAACTATCATTCTCCACCACTCCACTGCCCCATCATTGTCATCCCTCCCACCAATTTACTCATTGTACAAAAATTGTATAGATTGTAAATTTTCAATAAACGCTACTTG